TGACACTGTAGATGTCATGTAGGTGACTCTGTAGATGACATATAGGTGATGCTGTAGGTGACACTGTAGATGACATGTAGGTGACACTGTAGATGGCATGTAGGTGACTCTAGATGACATAGGTGATACTGTAGGTGACTCTGTAGATGACATATAGGTGATGCTGTAGGTGATACTGTAGATGACATGTAGGTGACATGGCATGTAGATCACAAAGTCAGGGGCCGGTAGGCTTGCTGGCGAGCAGGAAAGTGCTGAGGCCTGAGCTCCGGGCACTGCAGCAGCCCCACCCACCTCCAGGGTCAGAGGCCAGCAAAAGAGGGGAGGGGGCAGCCACGACAATTTCAGAAGGGTCCCTAAAGTGGAATGTTTTGACAAGGAGGATGCTTCAAGTTTTGGGGGCCTCTAAAGTCAGATGTTTCAAGCTGAGTGGTAGGTGTTGTGCTGCTGGGGTATTCTAAGAGGAGGAGCTGTCTGGCAGAAAGTTTCAGGGAGCAGAGGAGAGAAGGCCAGGCGGACTGAGCTGAAGAGAGCAAAGCACTGGAGATGATGGAGGGTACTGGGGTGACGCCCCCTCTCCCTTGCAGCCAGGGCCCCAGAAGGGGGTTCTTTCTTGTGACTGTTTTGAATATGGATGACCCACTATTAAAGGGGAAATAAGTGATGCAGTAAAGAAAGAATGTATTTATAGGAGTGAAATCCTGGAGGTGGGAAGGGGTGAGAGCCAGAGGACAAGGGCACAGGAAGTGACTAGTACCACAGCAGAGCAGGCAGGGGGGTGGGGGCAGGGGGGCACCAGGATGCGTGCATGAGCAGGTGGAGCTGAGGTTCAAGGAAGACACAGGTTTGGGCCAAAAGCTGCCAGGAATGGTGGTGTGGAGAGCCAGGGAGCCGGTGCTGGACCCCAGGGAATGCAGGTGAGCCAGGGGACTGGCTTCGCTGGGCCTGGAGCGTTGGTAGCGAGGAGAGAGATTTTGGAAGCCCCCAGCATCAGGGAGAATGCTGCTACTACCTCCAGCCTTGAGAAATATGGAATGTGGGAGATAAAAGGATTTAGGGGGCAGTGTGTCCCTAGGGAGGAGCCCAGAGGTCCCAGCGATAGAGAAAGGGACAAGTGGGGGAGATGGGACACATGAGGGGGTGCGCAGACTCCTCTCAGGATGGGCTCCAGTGAAATATCTGAAGGAGGGAGGCACCTGAGGAAACAGTCAGGACGCCCAAAGCCCAGAGAAGGAGCCCAGAGTGTGGCAGCGGGCCCCTGGATGCTCTCAGCCTCACAAGTAGCCTTAGCGTTCGCTGAGGACTGTAGATTTTATCCTGAGTGAGAGTGAGTGATGAGGGCCTGGGAAAAAGAGAAAGGAAGCCAGGCCTCAGGAGTTTGGAAGCAAGGTGGGGAGGCAGGTGCGGAGGCCGGGGCGGGGCCGGGACGCGGGCAGGGGTGGCGTGGCGGGCCTGTGCGGGCACACGGAGGACCTGCAGGGGCAGGCGGCCCCTGACTCAGCCGCTGCCCCTGCCCCTGCCCCTGCAGCCACGGCCCAGAAGGTCCTCCAGGCCATCCGGGGCTACATCCGCTTCTTCTTCGGCTGCCAAGACTGCTCCAGCCACTTCGAGCAGATGGCTGCTGCCTCCATGCACAAAGTGGACAGTCCGGACAACGCTGTTCTCTGGCTCTGGTCCAGCCACAACAGGGTCAATAATCGCCTTGCAGGTAAGGAGAGGCCGCCTCCAAGCCTGGAGCCCCTACAGAGGGAGGCTGAGCTGGGGCAACTTCCGAGTATAGGACCAGAGGTGAGGGGGGGAAGCTCACTGTCTCCAAGCGGTCCCCGGGTAACACCTCTTCATAGTGCTCCCACACAGAGAAGCTGCTCTTGCGCTGCCAGCCCTCCTGACAGGGCGGTATCCTTAGACCCATTTTCTAGATGAAGAAACTGAGGCTTTGACCTGCTAAGACCCTGGTCTTTGACTCCGTTGCACACTCTTGCCCCTGCACAAGGCCCTTCCTCTGGCCTATTGGCGTCCCTCCCTGTCGACCCTGCCCTGCTTTTTGCCTTTCCTGCTCTTTCCCAAAGTGCTAAAGAGGAGAGATCTGTGCTTTTCCACTTCCTGGGGGGCTGAGGGTCTTGTGTTACAATGTACTGGAAAAGACCAGAGACTGATTCCCAAAAGGGAACTGCCTTGTCTTCTGACCATCCCTCATGTGCACTGTTTTCTAGTCCAAGAGGCAAAGGTTTTAAACTCCAGGGGGTGACCAGAAGCTGGCGGTGGGGAGGGAGCCATCTGTGGACAACGGCTGGTCTGTGGGGAGAGAGGTGGGAGGTGGCATGAGGCCTGGGGTGTGAGGTTAAAGTTGCTGAGTGGAGCAGGTGCTGGTGCTGGCGGCTGGTCTCCGACTCGTCTCTTGGGGCCTCCTGGTGGATTAAAAAGACGACACGTGCCTGTCTCCTCCCACCCTGCCCCTGCCACCAAATGCTCCGTTTGACCCTCTAGCCCCATGACCTTGGCAGGCTCCCAGCTCCCCTCAGGACCCAGCTGCTCAGGGAGGGCCAGGAGCGGGCCCCTCCTCAGGAGCCGAAAAGGAGGTGGGTCCTTCCACATCTGACTAATGGCAACAGAGCAAGTACAAACTGCACGCCCATTTCACGGCTGCTTCTCCTGTTGCCAAAATAACCACCGATTTTTACATCACTTGCTGTGCCTTCTTTCTGGCCAGCAACTTATTCCCCACCTCCCCACCCATTAGTCCTTTAGGACCGTGCTTCTTACAAGAGATATAGCCTCATGGCATTCCCCAGGCGACTCTGGGCAAGCATGAGAGCAGGCCCTGACCCAACAGCCTGGGGGTCAGAGTGCCCTTCCCCACCCATGTCCCTGGGCTCCCACAGCCACCCCTCAGCGCCCACCTGAGGAGGAAACCCCACCAACTCCTCCCTGCCCCAGAGGGCTTCGATGGGGTAAAGGAAAACACCTGTGGGGTTACCAGGTGCCAGCTCTTGTTTAAAAAACATTTTCCGGGCCCTCCCTGGTGGCACAGCGAGTTAAAGCACTGCATGAAGAAGTTAAAGCCACTTCTGCATGAGTTCAACCCCCGCCCTGAGAGGTGACCCACATGGCGCGGCAGACCTCTCCTGACCTGCCTGCTGCTCTCCTCAGCACTGTACTTCCACGATCTGCCTGTTCTGCTCCCCACTCTGTCTCTAGTGAAGCCTCTCACCACCCCTGCAACTCTGGCCTTACCCCAACCCCGGGGGCATCAATAAATAAATCTTTAAAAAAAAAAAAACCAAACCATTTTCCCTATAAGTACAGAAGTAACATATTTTCATTGCATAAAAATTAGACAATTTTAGAAAAGAAAATAAATACTAGCAGATCAACTAAAGCTTGTCAGACAGATGATGCTGTGAGTTTCTGCCGGCCCAGAGCTGCAAACCTGCAGTGGGTGAAGCCCGCTGACCACCTTGGGTAAAGGTGGGGTGCTGGGGGCAGGCAGGGAGGAATCCTCCATTACCTGGGAGGTGCCATTGCTGAATCCCTTGGGCCAGGTGATGCACTGGTTTTCTTTAGCTGTCTTATACCTGTCCTTTTGAAGGGCTACTGGAAGGCCTTTCTGTAGGCGAGGAAGTCTATATTCTGGACGGAAGACTAGGCCTGGGCTTTTGGGTATAGGCCTATTGTGTCATAGTTGAGCTTTGTGTGTTTCCTTCCCCAGGGGCCCCCAGCGAGGACCCCCACTTCCCCAAGGTGCAGTGGCCACCCCGTGAACTCTGTTCTGCTTGTCACAATGAACTCCAGGGCCAGCCCGTGTGGGACCTGGACAACACCCTCAGCTTCTTCAAGACCCACTTCTCCTGGAGCAACATCGTCCTGGACCCTCCTACAGCTGGGCTGGACCACCACCAGGGTGCACCGAGGATGGAAGCTGAGCCAAAGCCAATGACATTAGTACTGATGGCCGGAAACTCTACTCTGGGCCCTGAGGAGGCTGAGCTGCCTGTAGAGCCAGGCTCCAGCATCCCAGATGTTCGTACAGAGAGCCTTGGGCTGAGACGCCCCCCAGAAATGCACACGGACTTCCCTTGGACCGGTGCTGAGCCAGACCGGGGACCCCTAGAGCTTGTAGCAGAGCTTCAGAGGGATGAATTAGAACCCCCCAAAGGACAGCGACACTGGATGAAGCGAGATACGAGAGCCATAGTGCTGGCTGAGTTGGAAGCTGAGAACCTCCCCAGGGGTCCCTTGGAGCTGAGGGGAGTGGGCCGCAGGGCCAAGCAGCTGATCAACATCCCTGACTGGGCACCAGAGCCTGGGTCCATGCGGGGCCGAGGCCAGTGGCTGCAGGTGCTGGGAGGGGGCTTCTCCCAGTTGGACATCAGCCTCTGCATCATACTCTACTCCTTGTCCTTCTTGGGCCTCCTGGCCATGTATACCTACTTCCGGGCCAAGATGAAGGCCCTGAAGGGTCACTCTGGCCACCCCACAGCCTGAACCATCCTAGCTGGGAGGGGACTGAGCAGGGAGCTGCCATCCATGCTCTTCCAGCCTCTTGGCCCCCTCCCCCTTGCTCCTGTCCAGGGAAATCCGAGAAAATTGTTGGCCTGATGAACCTCTTTGGGTCTTCTGGAGTATTCCAGGGACATGCATAGAGTACAGGTTTTCTGAGAGCCCTGGTTGAGGACAGCCTTGGCAATCGGATTAGAAAGCTCAGTCCCTGGCCTCTCAGCACCAAATTCCTCCTTTTCAGCTTATTTGAAGGCCTGCCTCATTCTTGCTGAAACTTTAGTGCCTCTGCTTGGTACCGGCTTAAATTAGGGCAAGTAAAGCCACTATTTCCGAGGCTAGAGTGCTAGAGTGCAACTCCTTGTACAAGCTAGGGTTCTGTCCTTCACTGCCTTCTAGAAGCAAAGGAAGGAAGGACACCCCCGGCCCCTGTGGCCTCTCCAGCCTCTCAGAAATGCTGGGCAGGTTGGCTTCAGAAGGGGGTTTGGCAGCCAGAGGTCAGGCCGGTCTCCTAAGTGGGTCAGGGTGTGTGGGAAGAGGGCCTATGACTGGCCTCTGCCCCAGGTGCCTGCTTCCAGAAGAGCAGGCGGAGTCTGTACAGTCTGACAGCTGGCAGGTGACTGTCCCCAAGCTGGGGCCTGAGAGGTCAGTTTGGCAGGACCTGATCAGGGGGTAGTGTGGGATCGAGGGAGGGAGGTTGGACTCTCTAGCTCTGGGCCTAGCTGTGAGAGGTGGTGAAGAGCAGGAGAAAGATGGCTGCTTTAAATGTGCTTTGATTTCTCCCTTTAAGTTGCTGTCCTAATCCCTCTCAAGCTGGGTCTTTTATCTTTTGATTTTAGTCTTCGGAGACTGACTTTGAATGTAGAGGGTGCTGGGTTGAGGGCAATATCATCTCTCTGGAGGTCCCACCCCCAACATGTAGAGGTTACCAGGATCAATGGGACAGTGGCGCCCTACATGGGTGCATGTGTTTGATTTCAACTCCACCCCACTGCTTGGGAGGGTTGTAGAATAAATTATTTTTGTTAAGGCAAGACCAGTGTGTTCTTTAACTTGCCCCTTGGAGACCTCATCTCGTGCATGGACAGGAGGTGCAGAATCAAGCCGCCCCTGGAATCCAGCCCCATCTCCCAAGCTCCCGGCCGCCTTTGTCACAGCTCCCCCACACACACCTTTTTTCTCTTATTAAAGTTATATACCATTTTCTTTTTCTTAATTTGTGCATTTTTCCATCTTGGTTGTAATCCCCATGGAGTTCCCACCACCAATCCACCCGTGTGCCATCACCATAGCCCCATGCACCTTTCCCACCCCATGTTTGAGCCCATTCCCCTCTCCACCCCCATAAAATGTCTCTGGTATATAGTTGTTCGTTGATTTTCATTTTACAGTTGCTGATTTTCCTCCCCTGATCTCTTATGCTCCTGCTATGAGTGAAACCGCCTGGTATTTTTCCTTTTCTTTCTGGCTTATTTCACTAAGCATGATCCCTTCCAGATCCATCCATATTGCTGCAAAAGGCATGCGTTCATCTTTTTTGATAGCTGAGTAATATTCCATTGCGTATATGTACCATATCTTTTTTAATAATATAATTGTTTATTTTTACATCATTTTGTGCCTTTTCTCATCTCAGTTTAATTCCCATAGACTTCCCATCACCAGTTCACCTGTGTGCCATCACCATAGTCCAGTGTACACCCCCCCATTTTTGATCCCATTCCCCACTCCACCTCTATAAAATATCTCTGGCATATAGTTGTTCATTATTATTATTATTTTCTCCCCAATCTTTTACACTCCTGTTATGAGTGAAACCACCTGGTATTTTTCCTCTTCTGCCTGGTTTATTTCACCAAGCATGATCTTTTCCTGCTCCATCCATGTTGCTGCAAAAGACATGTGTTTCCTTTTTTTGGTTGCTGAGTAATATTCCATTGTGTATATGTACCACATCTTTTTAATCCAGTCATCTACTTCTGGGCATTTGGGTTGATTCCACATCTTCCCTATTGTAAATAGAGCAGCAATAAACATGGGGTGCAGGTGTCATTTTGTGTCCTTTCGGTAGATACCTAGGAGTGGGATTGCTGGGTCATATGGAAGCTCCATTTTTAGCATTTGAGAAAGCTCCACACAGCTTTCCAGAATGGTGTTACCAGTTTGCATTCCCACCATCAGTGCAGGAGAGTTCCTTTTTCTCCACATCCTCGCCAGCATTTGTGGTTGTGGAGGCCTTTCAGCCTCTATGTGCACCAGAGACAGACCTTCCTGGGAGACCTGCCTCGTTTGCTCCCTGTTTTGTTCAATGAACCTTTGTCTGTACATGCCAGGGCTACTCAGCCAAGTGCCCAACTCTCCTTCCAGGCAGGTCAAGCCTTCCTTGTGGAACTGGCCTGGGCTGGTAGATCAGGAGGGAGGAGGCAGCCAGATTAGAGAGCCTGCCCCTAATCCTGCCTGATTCTGGGTTTTACTGGGATCAGAGGGGATGATAATGAACCTCATTAAGGGGGAGCAGGGTCTCGATCCGATTTGGAGATTTCCCTTTGACATCTTCACTCTGCTCAAATGGCACTGGGAGGAGCCATGCATGTTCCCTCTGCTAGGACAGCTGGGGGGCCAGGGAGCCCCCAGAGGTCAGCTGTCCCCCCTTCCTTGCTTATAGTGACCCAAGGTAACCTCTGCCTGGCTCGCTGGAGTCCAGCCTGGAACCTTCCTGTACGTCTGTAGCCTGAGGGTCCCTACCCTCATCGCCTACCTCCCCTCCACCCACCTGGCTTGGATGTGCTTGTCTCCACTTGTTCCCCTAGCCCCCAAAGCTATCAGGCCTGCACACAATTGGCAGGGTAACCCTGGCCCTCAAGAGGCTGCTGGAGGCTCCTGTGCCCACTTGGCCAAGTCTACTTGAGTCTGCCTACTTCCCCCACCACCTGTACCTGACAAACGGCAAGTGCAGAGGAGGCCCATCAGCAAGCTCAGGTGTTCAGAATCAGAGCCAGGCTGGAGAGGCCCCAGCACCCCAGTGTCTACCCGCAGTGCATAGACCAGGAGGCAAAGCCTTCCCTGGGGTCCACCTGAGGCCTGCCAGGGGGTATGCCTCCTCACCACAGCCTCTCTGCCCAGGCCCAGGCCCACTGATTGATAAACAAGGGTCGGTCTCCTCCTCGGCAGGACTGTGGCCTTTCCCCTTGACTTCTGCAGGGGTCTCCAGCAGCAGCTTACACAGGCTTTGCCCACCAGCTGGCTCCTCCCCCACCCGGTCTGCCAAGCTGGGAGCCGGCTGCTGAGTCACCAAGGACAGCTCCCAAGTTGGCCAGTCCTGGGGGACGGGGACTGCCAAGCCAAGGCTCCTCAGTTCTAATACGCACCTCTGCCTTTCTTTATCTGCTGAGCCTTCAGCATTTCCAAGAGGAGGCGGTTGAGCACGGGTTGCATGAGCTGGTGGGTATCAGCAAGGAAAATAGGGAGGAATAAAACATCACAGGTAGAGGTAGAGGAAAAATCCCAGCAAAGGTCAACATAGGAAAATAGTAAATATAAGAAATTCTAAACAAAACCTTTTTAAAATTTTAAGGATTTTTTCCCCCCAACCCATTTGGGTAGAGCTGGGAGCAAATAGCTGTGGTGGGTTAGCGGCCCTCTGCCTCTAAGTGCTTACATGCTAGAGGGGAGACAGATAAGCGAGAAAGTAGTGGCCCATTGGGCTAGGTATGCTGAAGTGGTCATCAGGAAGCTTCTCTGAGGCCCGAGGTCATGAGGTGGGAGAAGTGGGGGGCGCCAGAGGCCAGAAGGGCTGCTTCATTCAGCAGCCACTCCTGGGAGCAGTCCAGGGAGGTCCCAGAGGGGTGACCTGTAGGGCCTGGCTCTTCCCACTTGCCATGAGGTAGGGTGGGGGGCACCTAGGTGCAGCCCATCGTGTCCTTGTAGGGCTGAGGGCACCCCAAAGCTTTGACACTGTTAACCCCCCTCCTCCACTGCTGCAGTGTGTCTGGCCTCTCACCTGCCCAGAAGGCTTTGCCCGTGTGTGCCCCTGTGCCTACACAGCTGCACACGGACACAGACTGAGGTATGTCTTTTTTTTTTTAATTTTTGCAATAAACATTTCTTATAAAAAGAAAAAGTAACGAAGGAAACAAAGAGGATGGAAGGATTGTAAAGCCCTATTAGCAAAAAGAACGACACTGAAGCTCTATTAATAATAATGAGTCCAAAGAGTAACACCAAAGAAAGACAAGTCTTTTGTTGAGCCTATTGGTAAAATGAAAGTAAAGTGAGATAATACCTAGAGTTAGCTAGAGTGAGGGGAAGTGAAGCGTATCACTTGGCGTCCCAGTTCTCTTCAATAGGCAACAGCTCATCTTTGCCCCATGTAGTGTATCTGGGTGTGTTTGTCTGGCAAGTAGATTTTGGCTGTCTCCTGCGAGCTTAGCTGGGCTGTGGGCAGGGGGCCTGAGAGCTCTTCTCTACCGGCTGCTGGGATTCCTCACAGCATGGTGGCTGGGTGCCAAGAGCAAACATCCAAAAACAACGGTGTGAAAGCACAGGGTGTTTGTGTGAGCTGTTCTTAGAAGCCATGTAATATCTATTTTGCTATGCTCCATTGATTGAAGCAGACAGAAAACATCACTGAAGTTTCAGGGGAAGAACCCTGGGTCCTACCTTTTAATGGGCAATGACAAAATTCTGAAAAACTGTATAATTTGGGAAAGAACCTTGAAGACATCTTAAAAGAATGCTATCTGCCACTGTGTACACTCTAACTCTGCTAGTGGAAGTATAAACTGATAGAACTTTTGGGAAACATGTAATTTGTAATGCAGTGTAACTGGTAGTACTTTGAAAGCCTTAAGAAAATATATAACCTTTGACCCAACAATTCTATTTCTGGAATTTATCCTAGGGAAATAATTGAGGATATTTACTGAGGTTCACTACACTATTATATATACCATATAAAATAAGATTGATCTAATCTCCAAAATAGGAGGTAGATTAAATTCCATTTACATCATTATAATGGAATACAATGCAGTCTCTAGAAATATATGACCCACAGTCATGCAGTGCTTGGTGACATTTCATTCAAAGACTGTGTAGTCAATGGTGTTCTCATACCATCTAGGTTTGTATAATTACGCTCTGTGATGTTCCCACAATGACAAAGTTGCCTAACAACCCATTTCTCAGAATCAATTCTCATTATTAAGTAATGAAACTTGTATATTTCTTTTTTTATTCAGATTTATTTTATTTATTTATGTATACAAGAGCTAGGGTACAGACCAGAGGTATAGGGGTGAGAAGACTCACCAGAGACAGAGTGGGGAGCAGAACAGACAGATCTACTGAAATACACGGCTGAGGGGAGAAGTAGGTGAGACAGGAGAGGTCTGCTGTGCCATGTGGGTCACCTCCAGGGCTGGGGATCAAACTCATGCTGCAGAGGCTGTGGATAGCTTCATAGTGCTGAGACTTAACTCCTTGCACCACCAGGGAGGCCCAAACTAGTATATTTCTCTACCTGAAAATTTTTTCATATCATATTGGTAGGTGGAAATATAGAGGTGCAAAGATGATGCCATGCAATATGATCTCATCTTTGAGAAATGAAATACGTATATATTTATGGACACTAAGACAAGGGTAAAATCTGGTATCTATACACCAAAATGTAAACAGTAATTAGTGGTCAGTGGTGGGAACATTTTTCTTTATATTTACCTGTACTTTCTCTTTTTCTATTAAATAAATATTTACTACTAATATAATTAAGATACTTGTGAATTGACTATAAACTGTCAATTCATAAAAGAAGAAATACAATGACCCATAAATAAACGAAACCATATTCTTAAGTAATCAAGGAAGCGAAAGGTTAATTTATGTAATATCATAGTTATACATCATGAAACAAAACAATTTGATGCTGGAAAAGTGATAATGTACATAGGTATAATATTGCTGAAAAAATAATACTGTAGCATACTTCAAGAAGTGTATGCCCTTTAATGCAGTGATTTTACTGCCCAAAGTCTATCCTAAGGAAATAACCAGAGACACTGAACAAAGCCTGGAATGATCTCTGTGTTCACCATCAGAAGACCTGCCCATGTGGGCCAATTCCCACATAGCAACAGTCAGCTGGGACCTCCCTCCTCAGGGCCCAGGTCTCTCTCCCACTGCCCTTTACGTCCCTGCTCTGAAGGCCAAAGGCAGTTACCACTCTTG